TTCTCAGAGCTGGCAACCTCAGCCAGGAGGCCAGGCGGTTCTGGGACAGGACAGCCAAGGGTAAGGCTCACCAACATCTGGTCCCAGCTCCCCCCCTAATGTTTGTAACAGACCCACTACCTAATTGCATGGTTGGGGAGCAGCCTTCACATCTTTAGCACCTAATTCACTATTGTTTCTTTGGAAGCCCCAGTCTTGTGTCTGGGGAAGGAGGGCTCTGCCTATTTATGGGGTTTTCAAGCCCCGGGCATCCCAGCCCCCTCTTGTTAGGCTCCAGCTGTGTAGGCATCCAGGAGGCCATCTCCACCCTCCCCCCAACTTCCTGCACTCAGCCTGGGGCTTTACTGCCTCCCACTGCCCAGGATCACCTGGTTTGGCAGAAACACCCCCAGACACAGCCTCTCCGGGTCCTCACGTTCCTCCCCACCCACCAGGAGTGGCACTTTATTTCTCTTGCCCCAAGTTTTGGGGATTTATTGCCCTCTTCATCCCCAACAAAGAGATAAAGAGGAACAGTAGGGAAGCAGAAAGTAGGACCAGGGAAACCTGGGTTCGAACCTCATCTCTGTCACTTTCTACCATGCGACCTGGGGCCCATCGCATTCTTCTATGGGACTCAGTTTCCCCATCTACAAAATAGGCCTCCTAACACTTACCTTGCCAAGTTGTTGTACCAGTCAAATGAGATCACAGTAATAGCTAGGGTACCAAGGGCTCACTCTGCACCAGGAGCTATCCTGAACAGGGTGTGTGTGTACAGCTATGATCATAAGAGTCTCTCTAGAGTAGGTGCCCGATAAACATCCCTTCCCTCTCCTGTGCCAGTGGTCAGGGAATGGGTGGCCATGGAGGGAGGAGACTGAATCCAAACAATGCCCAAATGTGGGGCAGGTAGGTAGAGAGAGCACCCTCATCATCAAACCCATTTCTCTCCCTTTTGGGGGCCAGTCCCACCATTCTTGCATGCCGACTCCTTGAAATGCTAGGTAAGCTTCCATCTTCACTCACTTCTGGCACTTGGTCACACGGTGCCACTGCAGGGATGAAGAGCAGAGGGTAGGGTGTGCGACCAAGAAACCTCAGCCCTCTCCTTTCTGTCCTCCATTTCCTTGGGTCAAGAAGCAAACTTGGGAAAGATGCTAAGAGGAACCTGCCGGGCCACCGAACCGCCCCCTGAACTCCTGAGAAGAGCCCTGACTCATCTCCCTTTGCCATACTCCAGCGTGTTTATGAATCACTATCTCGCTATGCATTGGTCATCGAGTGGGCTCTGCCATTTACTTGCTGGGTGCCCTGGAGCAGGTCGCTCTACCCGTCTGGGTTGTGACTGCTTCCTCTCTAAAGTGATGAGGTTGAAGGGAAATGGAGAGAAGACTGAGGGTAAAACACCTGCCTGGGCCCTCCAGCTCTTACTGGGCAAGAATTACTCCCACTATGCTCTGCTATCTCTTTTGAACATGACATGGGCAGCCCTGCAAGGTGAAAACTATTGGGTTGATGAGGGATACTGCTCAAGGTCACATAGCTGGCAAAGTGGCCAAGCTGAAAATAAACTCAGGGGCCTTAGGTCCCAGATCCCTGTACTGTCTGTGACACTGACATCCTGGGAAGGGTCCAGGGGTTAGGAGAAGAGCTGTTATCAGAGATGTGGGAATGTGGTCTCGGTCTGCCTCCTCCCTCTGGTGGGTTGGGAGATGATGGACACCAAGACAGGATAGGGAGGGCCAGGGGTGGGAAAGACTGAAACCCTGGAGAGGTGCCAAAAGCCCCAAGCTCTAGGGATCAGAAGACCTGGGCTCAAATCCCAGTGCTTTTATTGACTATCTGGGTGACCTCAGGCAAATGACTCCACATCTCAGAGCCTGCTCTATAAAGTCAGGCTAAAAATCTACACCCCAAAGACTGTTGGGAAGACTCAGTAAGACTGTACTTGGTACATAATAGGTGCTCTGAGAGGTTTCCCTACTCAGCTGGACTGTGGAAACACTCACTTGGCTCCTCTGTCAAGCGAGCATCCTAAGACATCATCCGTGGCTGGGAACTCTTCCCACCAGTGCACTGTGCCTATCATTAACATAGTTCTCATTGTCCAGGAACTGTCCAGGAAGCCTGTCTAGAGTAAATAGAAGCTTGGGCCGCATCTTCCAAAGACAGGGAGTCTCTAAAGGGGCAGGAAAAGAGAATGGACGCCGGCCTCACTGCTCCACGAGATGGAGTAAAGGCCAGGTGTGGGTGTGGGAGGTGCCCGCAGCCTGTGAGGGGGTGGGCAGAGCAGCAGCAAGAAGCAGCCCAGGGCCGTGGTGAGAGCCCAACTATGGTACTAGGCAGTCCCAGGCTGGAAACTGCCATCCTTTTCCACGCAGGAGCCAGAGCATTCCGTTTACAGTGCAGGATATATCACACATATCTCCCCAGCTCACTCTGAATTAAAGCCCAAGTGGTGGTCTGGCCCCATCCAAAACTCGGCCCCCTCCAAAATTCTCCCCCACTCACTATGCTCCACCCTGCAGGCCCTTCTTTATTCTGTGGCAGGCCTCTGGGCCTTAGCACTCTCTGTTCTCTCTATCCAGAATGCTCTTTCCCTCAGTGTCTGCCTGTGCCCCCCGCCCCCTGCTCCAGAGGTCTTCCCTGAGCACTCTAAAATAGCAGCCCATCCCTCTCTGTCCCCTCACCCTATGTTATTTCCCCCTAGTTTATGATTATCACTGTCTGACCTGTCTTCCGTCTATTGGGTTTATTGTTGATTTTCCCCAATGGGATGTAAGCTCCAAGAGGGCAGGGGCTCTGCTGAGTTTACTGCTCTGTCTCTAGCCTCCAGAACAGCATGTGGCACAGAGTAAACTAAACCCATATTGATTGGATGAATAAATAAATGATTGATTGAATTCTGACTCCACGATTTTCTAGCTTGAATTGCTTTGAGCAGGTCATTTCATGTCTCTGAAACGTTCAGGGCAAAAGGTAATCCACACCCATCTCATAGGGTTAGTGTTTAAATTAAATGACAGAGTGTAAAAGGAGTTGACACCCATAGGTGCTCAGTAAATGACAACCACCATCATAATTACTCTCCCCAGGGGTCTGAGGCTCAGTCACCCACCCACTGAGGCCTTGGACACATTGATGGCCTCTCTAAGCCTCCGTCGAGTGTGCCCATGTCTCCCCTGCCGGGGTGTGCAGTGAGGCCAGGCAGGCCGTCTGAAACACAGGAGGCACTCACCAAGTGGCAGCTACCTGCACCCTGCGGAGTGTAGGATGTGGACACCAGCCCCAGCTTTCTTATTCTGTGATCTTGGGGAAGCTGCTAAATATTTCTGAGCCTCAGTCTCCTCCATTTATGAAATGGGAATAATGATAGTATCTTCCCCACAGGATGTCCTGAGGTGACAATGAGATTGTGCATCTGAAAGGGCTTCACAAAGCCCCAAGCCAATGTGCTGTGACACAAGGGATGGGGCCCAGCGGTGGAGAGAGACCCTCATAATGCACGGAGGAAGGACAGAACCAGGAGTTGTGCTTGGCCAGAGCTCAGAGGTGGATTGCAGAGGGAGCACACATGTCAGAAGCCAAGTCCCGGCCCAGCCAGGAGCCCTTTGCAGAGAAGGTTCTCCTGCCCTCCTCTTTCCTTCCTCTCTGTAGGGCCTCACTGGGGTCTTCTGGCCAGTCTTGCCAGGAAGTGGTTTCAAGGGAGGCAGGGAACAGCCGCAGGACCCCACAGGAGGCAACCTCCTCTTCAGTCAACCTTCTGCCCAATCTGCTTCCCATCCCAAGACAAAGCTGGCCTCTGCCCTCCATCCTGGCCAGGTCCTGGGGAAGACCTAGAAGAAAGGGCCCCTGGAATTTCAAGAGGCAGACAGACAGACTTCTTGCACTCCCACCCGTGAGAGTTTAAGGGGAGAAACACCAGTCTCCTCTTGACCTGGGCCCTCTGATTCCACCAGACACAGAAGGGGGCCCACCGCTGCCTTGCTCAGCCTGTGTCTAGTAAAACCCAGATGGGGATGCACAAACGACTCGAGCAATAATCCCTAGACATGAAACAATAAGTTTCATGCAGTATGATTTTGGGTCTGTTTTGTTTTTTGATGAATTCTCATTACCTAAAACAGTGCCTGGCATTTAATTAAGTGCCTAGTAATCATATGTTGAATGAACAGTTCCATCAAGAAATGAGTGAATGAAGCAATTCATCAGTGACTAAGTGAAGTTCCCTGGGAGGCTGGCATGTTTGGGGCGTGTTTTTCGGTAAATACCCAGTGCCCGGAGTCGGTAAGCAAATGTTGGTGAACGATTATGCCTGAATCAGTTATCCAATCAAGAACTCATTGGAATGTAATCTCTCTGAGGACAAGGATGTCCAGAAGCAAAGACCCCTTGGTCTAAGGCTGCGTTCTCACAGCCTGGAGCCGTGCGTGGAGCAGGCGCGCGAGCTCCCCACCCCTGCTCTCAGAGCCCAGATTGCAGACCCAGAGGAAGGAAACACAAAGGGGCCCCCGCCCTGCCTGAGCCCCACCACCCCCCACCACTCACCTCAGGGTTTTTTTAAATAATTTGTCGATTGTTTTTAATTGTTGAGGCAGTAATACTTGGTTCATGAAACTGCAATATACAGAGAGGTGAAATAAATAGCTTATATATATAATATATATATAATATAGCTGGTTTTAAAATATTCCCTTATCATTGGTGTACTAGGTCACGTGAGTCACGGAAGGTCGATAGCAGCATCCTCCAGAACTGCGAGCAAGGCAGGGTCACTTGATTGGACGAGGCCGTCTGTCGTCAGAAGTCGAGGCGCCGAGAATTCCGAGGGGCACGCCTTCCCTGCGCGGTGTCTCGGGACAGCTTGCAGCGGACAATAAATAAATGACTGCAAACCAGACAGCGATTTTTGTTGGAGTCTGGGGCAGGGATAGGGGTTGGGAAAGAGGGGGAGTCTGGGGATAGGTACTACTTTCTCTTTGTTTCTTTGCTTTTTTTTGTTTTGTTTTGTTTTGTTTTTGCTTTCAGAACCTTTGGGAAAAAGGACTTTGGTTTCTCAGAGTGTCGTTTTCCTCATTCAAATCCTCCTCTGGGGACGAGATTAGAGTTGTCTGTTCCTAGAGAGAGACAAGCACCTGTCCGTTGACAGCAGTCACTTTTCGTGAGTCTTTTGTCATAGACAGGGGGTTTCAAGTCAACAATAAAATCCTTATTGCTCCCCCCTCCCCAAGAGTTTTGGTTCAGTTTTTGTCTTCTTTTAAACACAATGTACAAAAATAGAGCTTCTTCCTAATTTTTCATGTAAAAATATTCCTCTGATGCAGTTCTCTGTGAGTGTGAGTGTGGGCCGGGGGACAGCCCGGGGGACTGCGGTGGGGCCAGCCTAGCCAGGGTGCGTGGGGCGGATCCGCCGGGACCTCTTGGTCACTGTGGTGTACTTGAAGGGCTTCTGCAGCTCTGCCTGCCCCTTGGGGTAGCGTTTCATGAAGTGCACGTCCTGCTGGTTCTCCCGAGTCTTGGGACCCTTCCGTGGCCGCCCCTTCTTGGTGAAGCCCACGTACCAGCCAGAGTACTTGGCAGACATCAGGGCTGTGTAGTTGTTTTCCAGGACCTTCTCAATGAATACACACTCCTTGCTGGTGCCATCGGGCTGTAGGAGGCAAGAAAAGGAGGAGGTGAGTGGGGAAGGGTGGGTACGAGGGGCAGAGCTATACGGACAGGGTGTGGGTAGGTGGCAGAGGCTTGGGGCAGTAAAGACGAAAGGGCCTAACCCAAGTTTTGTCCGCAGTAATTTCACTTCCCAGGTCTGCGGGGTGGACTTGTCATATGGGCCCCTGCCTCCTTCCTCACCCTCCAATTAGGTAATAGATTCCCCATAGAGAATAGAGACTCAGACCTGGCCAATAAAACATTATTTCCCATGACTGGTGCAGAGCTGGGCATGTGGCCCGAGCCATCCAATCAGAGTGCTCCTCAAGACCCTTGTTTAATCCCCCCAAACATAGGCTGTTTAAACTAGAGGAACACCTAAGGCTGAAGCAAAATCAGCCACTTTACCACTATGAGGAAAAACACTGTCTGACAACAAAGCCAACACAGAGGAAGTCATGCCAAGAGGAAGGGAATGAGAGAAACCAAGTTCTCGTCACATCCTTTGGGCTCTGGACCAAGCAGTATCTAAGTTCGTTACCTCATTGTGATGTGGGCCAATAATATCTTATTTCCCTTAAAGTCATAGAGATTAGTGCACAAAACCTGATATGGAGTCAGCTACACCACAGCCCTCCACTCCACTGCAATATAGTTAAATTCAAATAACATTTAATGTGGGATATGGTGCATTTTAAATGTTTGGTGTGAAGAGGGGAACTCCAAGAATAAGAGTTTTTGCATGGCCAGACTCCAGAGCCTATGCCTTTGGTTCTGAGATTTCAGGCTCCCCAGCAGATGTGCGAACTCCCAAAGAAACAAGGGATGCCGGGCAAGGAATACTAGATTTGGAGTCAGGAGCTGAATCAACTCTAACACTTCCTTATGTGACCTCAGGCTAGTTAATTCCACGCGCTAGACGTCGCATTCCTCGTCTTACCAAACCAGGACAGTGGCCCCGTGTCACATAAATGTGAGGAATGATACTTATACTTGAGCCTCATACACGGTAGGAACTTGCTGAATTATTTCAGAATTGCAGGTGGTTCAGATGGGTTCTGGCCTCCCTCCCTGGATGGGATCTGGACAAAGGACGGTGGGAGGCAGGGCTCTGACCCTCCTTCCTGAGACAGTTGAATCGCTCCATGTAGCAGAGTGGGAAGCACACAAAGCTGGAAGGCCTGAATTAGCAGCACTCGAGTTTCCAACTAACATCTCCAAATTTAGGCCGGGCCCACTCCTCGTTCCGGACGGTTGCCCAGCCAAGTTGGAAGCCCAGCGGTCTGGCTGTGCGTGGTGACTGAGGTGCGAGTTCCAGCCTTTTGTTTGAAGTGGAAAACAGGCTGGAGCTTCCAGGAACGTTCACCTTTGAGTGGAGGGCAAGCTTGGGCCCTGCAGACAAAGTGCTGAACTTTGCAGAAAGGGACAGGCAGGGTAAGAAAACATTCTCTGGAGGCTGAGATCTTTCGAGGAGGCTGCAGAGCAGGCAGGGGGTGGGACTCTGGTGAGGGAAGTGGGGCATTTGTACAAAGCAAGTAGAAGGTAGAAGGGAGCGGTCTCTGGCCAGCCCCCTCCCCCACCTTGGATAATTCTGGAAGCTGCCTATCCAACCTGAGTCCAGGTCCCTCGGTCACTCTCGATGGAACAGTCACAGCAAACTGAACAAAGCCTACACCATGCTGTTCCCTGCCACAGAATACCTGCCACTACCTGGAAAACTGCTTTCATCCTTCAGGGTCAACCTCCTCCAGGAAGCTTTCCTTGACTGCCATCTATCTCCCTTGGCATGTCCTCTTCTTCATTTAAGACTCCATTCAAGCATCAGGTTTTATTGGACTCACATATTCCAGCTTCTCCCCTTGGCACCCATTCCTCATCCCACCCCCCCAACAGAGCAATCAATCCCATATCTGCCTGCCTCCTCATTAGCCCAAGAGCTTCAGGAGGTCAGGACCACCTGTCAGTTGCCCTCATGGCTCAGCATAGGTCTCCGGACCCCAGAGCATTTGTGGTTGAATAAAGGAGAGTTCTGGGATAGTAATGGTGGTAGGGAACCCCTCAAAAGGCTTTCTTCTTAAAAGAAAGGAGAAGCTGCCTCCTGGATCCCTCATTGATGTCCCAGAGACCGTCATGAGCTAGGGGAGGCCCTCCTGGAGGCGTGCTGAGAAAGGGACAGAGCAGGCAGAGGACCAGAGTGCCCAGCCTGGCCCACTTGGTCTCCCTACCCCTTCATTCATTCACTCATTCAGCATTTACTGCTTGTTAATTATAAGCCAGACATCTCCGTGTGCATTATTTCATTTAATCCTCTGAACTTGCTCAGATAAACTCTCCCTGCTCGAAGAAAACAGAGTTCAAAGAGGGCAAAATGTCTTGCCCAAGGTCATGGGGCTTCTAAGAGGCAGAGCCAGTGTAGCTCATTCCTCCTCTGTCCAGTTTCAGAGAGGTCCAGGAGAAGAAAGAGTGTGGAAGAGAGGGCAGAGCACTGCCTGTCAAAAACACCTCCCCTCCGCAGGCCCACACGGCCACCATCAGCATGAAGCAAGGTCTTGGACGTGCAAGGTGCGGGCACAGTGCCTGGCAATGTGTTTGTATGTATCCAGGTATACTTATGAGGGCTGAAACTCTGAGCACCTTGGAGAGCTCAGGAGCCCCTTGGGAGGAGCCACGGGACCCATGATGGTCACAAGTCCCCACTCCCCCACGACCCCCCACGCCCCACCCACCCCTGGGAGCTCAGACTCAGCAGATTCAAAGCTAATGGCAGGCTGCACCTGGGCTTGACCCTCACCTGTACTCCTGACTACCTCTCTGACCCTGCTTATTGTCTGCAAAGATTTAAAAAAAATCACCTGTGCTTAAACCTCGCCCCCCAAAATGCTGACACAATAGGTTCAGGCAAGGCAGATCATCAGTATTTACAGAGTGAGTGAATATCCCATCGCAGAACCTTGGTGATTAAGTAGAATTTGAGCATCTCTCCCCCCTCCACCGCCTCCAACCTCCAACCTCCTCCTTTCCAAACTGGAGTCCTATTCCTTCTATTTGATCTGAAGACTGAATCCTGATGACATCATTTGGCCCCTAGATCCCATCTTACTTGAAACTAGAACTACCCCCTGGACATTTGTAGTTACATGAGCCAAAAAATTTCTTTTTTGCTCAAGGCATTTTGAGTTGGGCTTCGGTCGTTCACAACCAAAGCAGTCTTCACAAAGATACGGTGGTGGGTGGAGGACCCCTCTGCCCTGAAGGGTCTTGGGCCCTGTGCTGCCCCAAAGAGGGCTCACCAGGGATCACTCAGGTGGGGGCAGCTGAGAAAATAATCCATCTGGGTTGAATATTCAGAGATGCGGCGCCGGGGTGGGGGGGATGCCGAGCACACAGTGTTCTATACTCAACAGCTGTTTGTGGAGTGAAAGGATGTACACCCTCCTGGGCGAGATGGACATGGGGTCCAGAAAGCTGGCACAGGGAAGGGGGCTCCCTGAGCATGCAGGGGCTCGGGGCAGAGCTCTGGTATGTGATTGTTACAGTGCAACAGAGGAGTGAGGAGCTAGAGCCAGGGGTCCAGAACATCTGAAAAGGCTCTGTTGGGGGCTCGTTGCATGTGCCCTGCTGGGGCCAAAGAGGTGCGAGGTTGGCACCCAGGGTCTAGACCACCCAAGAAAGCTCCAAAGGAGTCAGAGCCTAAGTTAAGGCCAAGGGTTCCCACAGCTGACGGAGTAACTTTGGGGCCTGGCTTCAAAGGGGAAATGAATGACTATTTGTCAATTGCCCACCAGATGCCAGCATCATCACTGCCATCGTACAGATGAGGACACCGAGGCTCAGCAGTGAGGGGACCTGATGCCCCAGCCTGACGTGAGTAATTCTGGCTGTAGGTTAAGACAGTCCTCGGAAAGCATGAAGCATTTTTCTACTTCTTTGGTACTTCTGTGGCTCTTTGGCCCCGGTACCCAGAACATGGGTGGATGGATCCGGAATCAGCCCTCAGTGAGCTCTCCGTCTAGTTGCGAGATGTAGGCACAGGAACAAACAGTGAAAACTCGGGTTAGCGACAGGCAACAGAGGACTGTGTGTGGGATTATGGGCTCCAGGGCAGGTGTGCTCTATGAGGGGTTGGGGAAGCTAGAAGCTGCTGAAGGCTGAGCAGGACTAGAGCAGGTGGACAGAGGGAAGGGCAATCAGCGTGTACAAAGCCCGAGTCCCCATCCAGAGAGTGATAGTTGGCAGGGCCATGGGTCTGTGGCTTAAGGAACCTGAGGATGGGTGGCAGGGCTGTGAGGCCAGGGAGGATCCCCAGGGCCCTCTGTGTCTCCCCAGGGAGCATGGCCTTTCTCTAGTAGATGGTAGACGGTGCGGACCCAGGCATAGGTTTTGAGATGGGTTAGGGGTGGAAGACAGGAGATGCTCTTAGAGAGCTGATGGTGGGTAGTGGGCAAAGGCAAATAGCCTGGGCTGGGAGTCCTGAAGCGGCCAGGGCAACAGTTCCTGGGAAAGGATGAGGCCACAACAGAGGCAGTGGCATCAATGAAGAACAACACGGGGGCAACCTCAGGACCCTGGCACCTGACTGCCTGGGAGGCTGTGATGAAACAGCACCCCATGAGCCTGTGACTTCTATCTACAGGGGCCAGAGACAGTGAGGGAAGCTGGGCTAGGCAGAGGGCAACAGGGGGTCTGCCCAGGGCCATCCTGGGGCAGGTGGATTTGGGGGCCGTCCTTGGAGCCCCCCTCCCCCCGGGGCCAGCCCAGAAGACAGGCGCGTCCTTCCCGGGATGGGGAAGCTGCCTCGAGGGGAGCGGGAAGGAGGGGGCTGTCTCCGGGCTGCACCGAGCCTGGCGGAGCCCGCGCCAGCTGAACCGTCCCCAATATTAATGACGGGAGAGAGGGCGAGGGGGCAGGAAATCGGATCCGGCTCCTGTGGAAGTGGTGACTCAGCGGCCAGCCGGCGGGTGGGCGGGCGGTGGGCGGCCGGCGGCGGGGAGCGGGGCTGCTCTTTTGACCCCAGCGTGGCCCTCCTGGGGTCAAGCTGCCGGGAAGCGCACAGCGCAGAGGGAGGGGCGCGCGGGCACCGGGCACGGAGGGCTACAGCCCGCCCCCCCTGGAAGCCGCGGGAAAAGGAAGCCGAGCGTCCAGCCGCAGGCAGGTTGGGCCTGGGAGACGGCCCGGGCGGGCAGCAGAACAAAGCGCCTGACGCGGGGCCGGGCCGCGCCGCCACAGGAAACGCACGGCCAGGCCAGGGGACCCGGCGCCCGGCCCGCCCGCCGCCCCTGCCCCGATCGCCTCGCCGGTCGGCCGGCCGCCCCGGGACGCGGAAAGTGAATCACTAATTAAAACCACTCTTCGGCATCCCGGAGCCGCGCTCTGCGGATTACTATTACTGCGCTCTCTGAGAAGCTTCGGCTGGCGTGGGCAGTGCGGCGGGAACCTCTCTGCCTTCCAGACCGGGCTTGGAATCCGCGCCGCTCTAGTGTGGGACCCGGGACAAGTGCCTGCGACGGGGCCGAGCCTCAGCTTTCTCATCTGCGAAATGGGGATGGTAGTGGTAGCGACCTCATGGGATTATTTGGGAGTATTTTTGCACAGTGCCTGGCAGAAAGTAGATGCTCAATTAGCCGAAGCTACCAGTAGTGTTATCATTAACAAATAAGAAGCAACGGTACTCGGGCTCAAGTCCCTGGCCTGTTGTACTCTCCGCAGCCACTAGGGTGTGGAGGAGGGGAAGACAGCGAAGAGTTGAGGGCTTCCAGAAAACAAAACCATGGCTTAAACAGGAATTGGGGCTTGGGGCTGTGCTTCCTCCTCCCAACACGGTGTAATAAATGCAAATCACCAGCCTGGGCCTTGTGGCCAAATAGGAAGAGCCGTCCTCCTTAGAATCAGGATCTACCTTGTACCCCTCACTCTACCTGCCCAACGGAATCATTTTGCAAGTTAGATATGGGGGGGGGTCAGTAGGGGCCCGGCAAAGGGAAGGGAACACAGAGCGTGTGCACCATGGAGCGAGTACCCTAACACCATGCACCGGAGCCCCCAAAGGAAGCGAGTGTATGAACTTCACAAATAGGCACACCCAAGAAAAAAGGGGGACACTGAGCAGCGCCCGCCGGTGGAAACTATGAGCCCCATGTGGGTCCACGCCCCCACACCCACACCCCACCCTAATTTGTTACATGCAGCTCTGTGGCCTATGCCCAAGTAGTAAAATCTTCCTGAAATGCTAGAACCATAAGGCCCAGCACTGAGATGGCAATGGGATCCAGAAGATGCTGTATTTCTCTGCAAACCCCTGGCGATTATTCAACCAATGCTGTGGCCCCAGCCCCTGGCCAGCCATTTCCCTGTTCTCAGGCAGCAGACACACACAGGCAGGGAGCCCTGAGCCCCTCCGGGTCCACAACCAGCAGGAGAGAGCGGGACCCTGCCTGCTCCCCAAAGTCGCGGCCGTGGATACCTCAGCCTGGCAGGCTGGGATGTGGGTAGAGAAGGGGCTAAAGGAAGAGATTACACTCAGAATCACACACACACACACACACACACACACACACACACGCACTCACCCAGCTTGTTTTCCATTTGGGGCTGACAAGGCCCTGAGCACCCTGTTCCAGCTACCCAGAGTTGCCAGGGGGAACCCTCCCGAATACCCTGGGAATTCCAGACCATCACTCACCTTCCCCACGAGCTTGCCTTTCCGGTTCATACACAGGTAGAATTCCGTCTCCTTGCCCTTGATCCGGACTTGACTACCGAAGGTGTCTGTCTCCACTAGGAGCTGGGCTTCGAAAGGCAGAAGGAGAATAAGACACATTTTTTTTTTTTTTACCAGGGACAATGGTTTGGCGGAAAAGCTCAGCGACTGACCCCGTCCCTGGACCCCCTCACTGTTCCAACATCAGGCATGGGGGAGGTTTTGAACAGGTCTCATTGGAGCACCCTGCCCCTTAGGCAGCCAGAGAAAGCTTCCCCACCCCCAGCCTCTCTTGACTCCACTTGGGACCTAGATGGCTCCAGCTGGAGGGTTGTTCTGCCCCTCGTGGCTAACTCTACCTCATCACCCACTCTATCAGCCCCTCACCTCTGTTCCCCAGAATAGGACACACAGCCACCAATAATCCCAGAGAAGTAGCAGTCTCTGGAATTAGGGCACAGAAAAATGTGTGCAAGGCTGCATGGGCACGCACACACCCTGCCTTGGGGGACATCAAGCTACTTCCTTCAAAATTTGGGCCAAAGGCCTCTCCCTCCAGGGCGAACATCTAGAACCCCTGCTATGTCCCCTCCCCTGACACACCTTTGCCACTCAAAGTGGGGAAGGTCCAGCGAAAGGAGGTTTAAGGACCCCGGGAATGGAGACTATCTTCAGAATATTCTACTTTCTCAATCAAGGCCACAGAGGCTAAAATGTAGCTAACTACCAGGAACCCAGACATCCCAGTTGGGACACAATATTCCCTGGTTTGAAGTAGGAGACCCCAACTAAATGACCCATTCTCCATAGAGCCTCCCTTAGGAGAGGTTGCTTTCCAGAGCTGATCCCCCAAAGCACTGATTGTGAAAGGGTGTCGAGTGGTCAAAGGGTGACTGTTCCTTGATGTGCCATGTCCAGACCCCTCCCTGTCCATCTGCCAATCCTCTTTTTCTCCCCAGTAAGGTGCTGTGTGACTTCAGTAGGCCACCCATCCTCTCTGAGCTCTTTCTCCTATCTGGCCTTGAATTCTATGCCTGAATCCTCTGCAACACCTCCTCCCCACTGCTGTCTTCTTTGCCTATGACCTCCTCATTCTCACCCTCCCATCTCTGACCCTTTGCTTCCCAGCACCTGCCCCTCCCTCACCCACAAACTTTTAATTTTAGTGACAAGGGACTTGCTTCTCCATAACAAAAATCATAGCCCTAAATACAGCATCCTTGGAGCCACCAAGAGTGTACCTCAGTGCCCCTAAAATACACTAGGTATGATTTTAATAAAAAAATTTAAAAATATATACCCTGGTGCCCTGCTGTGAAAATTAAAACCATCTGGAACTCAGGATTTCCAATAATTAATCCAGCCCTCCTTTGACACCACTACTAATTAAAATATGATACCCCACCTTTCCAAGGAAAATAAGAAGAATTTACATAAAATTTAAAGATCTAACAAGAATTTAGTAATTCTAGTAACAGGGAGGGAGGGGGAGGCACATTCTTCTCTCCACCTTCCCCCATCCCTAGTAAACACAGTCAAGAATATTAAGCAGCACTGAGATAGGGGGTTACAAGCCCCTCATCCTCCCTGCTCCCCTTTAATTCAAACTCCCTATAGCTCTCCCTGGGAACCCAGGCCAAACATCAGAGCAACCTGGGGCTTGCTTTCTGCCTCTCCTCCTAAACTCTGGCCCCACACAGAACGGAGGTTGTGGGGTTCAGGAGTGTCTCCCATCCTAGGGCGGTGAAGAAGACAGCACGTGTAAGGGAAAGGCAAGAGCTTTGGAACGCGCAGATTTGGGTATGAATCCCTGGCCCCGCTTGCCAACCATGTGACCCTGGGCCTCAGTTTCCTGACCCGTAAAATGGGTGTAATCATCCTTAATCTTCAAAAGGTATTGTGAGGATCCCACAGAAGGAAGGCAGAAAGGGCCTAGCAGGGGCGCCTGGGTGGCTCAGTGGGTTAAAGCCTCTGCCTTCGGCTCAGGTCATGATCCCAGGGTCCTGGGATCGAGCCCTGTATCAGGCTGTCTGCTCAGTGGGGAGTCTGCTTTCCCCTCTCTCTCTGTCTGCCTCTCTGCCTACTTGTGATCTCTGTCAAATAAATAAATAAAATCTTTTAAAAAAGAAAGAAAGAAAGAAAGGGCCTAGCACCTATTATCAGAGGCCAGGTGAGGGAAGTATAAGTTTCATAATATTGTGTAAGTTTCATAGTAACTGCAAAACAAAACTTTTTCCCCTAAACACACACAAACACACAACATAGTGTGTTGGGAAAAAATCAGATGTGTGTAAAAGGGTGGAAGTGGAGCAAGGGTGGAAGTGGAGCCAAACTTGCCTCCCCAGGCATGCCCTCTAACCTGAACTTCTTCAGCATCCTCCAGGGTTACGGGCATCCCACACGGCGAAGTGCATCAAAACATGCCTTGGACTGGGATTTACAGGGTCTAATTCCATTTCTGGCATCGCCATGCTAGGCTGTATCACCTTGAGCCAGGCACACCCCTCTTCTGAGTCTCAGTCCCCTGCTCTGTGCAAGGGGGAGGGGGAGGCTTACCCCTATTCTTATTCTCTCTGGGACTGGGGCAGAGCCTAGGAGAAGGTTAGGGATGGGAAACTGTAGAAAAGAAGTCAGGCCCCAGAACTATGGCCCAAGAGACCCCAAGTGAATCTGAGAGGAAGTCTGCCCCTCTCCCAGCATGTGCCTGGACCTCTGTCCTCAGAACAGCTCCTACCATTCTGGCTCCTGTGTGAGCCCACTGAAATTTATACATCACCTTGAGCTTGGGTGGCTTTGTCCCCATTTTACAGTTTAGGAAACTGGCTTTCAGAGAAGCAACCCAGCAGGAGGGGCTGACATCGGGTCTGCCTGACTTTCCGCTGGGGCCTGGGCACCAGGGGAGGGCCCCTAACTCTGGAGAGGTATAGTTCCCTGCCCCCCCCAACCCCTAATTCTCACCAGCTGCGGCTCACCCCAGCAAGCCCTGGCCTTTGCCTGAGCTGTCCAAAGGCCTAGGCTGGGGCTGGGCGGCACCCCCACCCCCACAAGCCTAGCTGCCCTCACCCCAGCATGGGGAAGGTCTGCTCCGGATACCATGCCGGGGAGCCAGAAGTCTGTTCTTCCCGACCACAGCAGGCCTTGCCGTGACCTAGACTCCACTCGGGCGCATGACATAATGAGGAGGGAGCCGGGCCAGAATTATGTAAAGTCTGCAGGGACTAATAGCAGCAGCAGTTCTCAGAAAGAGAGAGAAAGAGAAAGAGAGAGCGAGCAGGATGGAGAGAGAGAGACCCCACCCACCCAGGCCAGGTTTGCTCACAGCCTACCTCACCCACAGCATCGCACTCCCCCTTCTCATGACCCAAGCCCCCAACACGCAACTCTCAGGAGCTTAGAAACCTCATCCGGGCTCAGTTCCATTCTCAAGGCCTGTACCAGACCAGGCAGGAGGAGTCTGGGATGTTATCTGGCTCCCCTCATCATCAGAACCCCTCTCCAGGCAACCCCCCACCCAGACCGCACAACTCGGCAGCCTCCACCCTCTGCCAGAAAAAGCCTTTAAAAATAAAAAAATTAATTTTATCTCTTTCCTGCTAAAAGCCTCCTAGGGATCTTCAACCCACTTAAAATCTAGCCTCTTCATGGAGACCCATAGGGGGCACACGCTCTGGCCCCTACTGGTCATTCCTATGTCCTCCCCTCACTCACAGCCTGCCAGCCAACAAGCCTCTTTGCTGTTCCTCTCTGACACACCAGGCACACTCCCACCTCAGGGCCTTTGCACTTGCTATTCCCTCTACCCAGAGGCTGCCTTGCCTAGAGCTTCCCATTGAGGCTTCTCTTCTCTTAGGTTGCTACTTAAATATCACTTCCTCAGAGAGGCCTTTCCTACACCTCCCCAGTCCAGCACTACCCATCCACTGCTCCATTTTCCTTAGAGCTCTTCTCCAGATGGTCTTAGTTGCTATATTCCTTTTTCTACCATCTGTCTCTCCACTGGAAGGTAAGCTCCACGACAGCAGAGCCTTATCTGTCTTATACACCACTGTGATTTCCAGTACCTAGCCCATACCTGGCTCATAGGAAATGACCAACAAGTAAGTTTTAGTAAATGCATAAACGGCTTTGTGAAGTAGATATGAGTAACACTATCTAAGGTAAGAGCTAAAGAAAACAAGACTCAGGGAGGTGAAGGGGCTTGCCCGAGGGCACACAGGTGATCAAAGCAGCGCATGTGTTGGGACCCAGTCTAAGTCCACAGTCAAGTTCCTTAGCCACTCCGCCCCCGCTGGTGTTCTCCTGGTGCTACTCCTCCGACTCACTCAAACTCTGAGCTCCCACCCACCTGTCCCTAGCCTCAGGATTACTACCACGTCTTTCAGTTTGCTGTGTGACAGAGGTGAAAACCCTGTTCCTCTTTGGGCCGGGCCTAGGCGACCTCCAAGGCCTCTTTCAGTACTGCCCCTCTAGAAATATTATCAGTAACGTATATTTACTTAGAGCTTATGAGGTAGTGGGCTCAATATGCATTCTGTCACTCACAATAGGCTCATAATAATCCCATGAGGTGAGAACTTATTATCATCCCCATGTTACAGGTGAGAAAACTGAGTCCCAAGGTTACCCAGTGATGGAATTAAACCCCAGGCAGGCTAGCCCAGAAGTCTGGGTCTTACCTCATCCACTGCTTCTCTTCCCTCTGCATCAGTCCCTTTCCTGGGGGAGTAAGTGAGTCAACACCAAAGGCAGGGAAGGTCTTTGCTCTGACCTCACTCTCTTGACACAGAAGGACTATCGGTAAGGATGCCTACAAAGCCCTTTCTATAAAAAACTCGTGCTGCCTTTTTTTCTTCCCTAAGTGCTTGAAGTCACAAGGATAATTGAAAAGTCTCAACAAATACTTACTCGGGCATTTACCATCCGTCAGGCACGGTGCTTAGACTGAACGTGCAATGCCTCGTTAGATCCTTGCGATCCTCTGAGGTAAGAACTATGACACCCTTTTGATGGGTGAAGAGACCGAGGCACGGAGCAGACAAGTTACGCGCCCAGAGCCGCCCAGTAGGGCCAGGATCTGAACACCGGCAGA